AGCCTCAGTTTTGCCAACTGTAAAGTAAGGACGGGCACAGCAAAGGCACTGATAAAAGATTAAAAACTTGAGTACCTTTGTGTGTGTGCATGTGTGTGGGGGAGAGAGAGAAATGATTAGCATGTAGACTCTGAATAAATGGGAGCTATTATTATTACTGCTCTACATTTTTTCCCTCTTCATTTCTTATATAATATATATACTGCTTTAAAAAATCTAGTTCATGACTGCTAACTTGATGTTACTTCTAAAAACACATAATCGCTCATTAACAATAACCCGGGAAAAAGAAATAGAAGCCCACTAGACAAGCAACTATGTTTTGTATACATCATCTTAAAATGCTACTCACTTGATGCAATCTATAATGATCAAGCCATTGTTCAAGCAAAATTATTACTTCCTCACAAAGCTGGTTTGAGGCCTTCAACACCATCCCTCTGACTGCCTGTCTTAGCCTTTTCCACAAGGCATGAAAGATAAAAGCAGTCGGATGTCCAGACCGCACTGAGCAGACCCCAGGGAGAGCCTTTTAAGGCTATCATTCACTGATGTTTTATAACCCAAAGAGAGTAACACAGCTCGTGTCAGCATTTATTTTTTTTTTTTCTTTTTGCCAAATTACATCTTATCACGTAAACTTAGTTTTCATCATTCACTCACTAATTTCATTTAAATTTCAATGTACAATTAAACATTTCATCCACCATTTTCTGCGAAGCTCCATGTCATTTCTGCCCTAGTGAAACGATGTAATATCAAAAAGAAATCTGAAAACATTGTTTTCTTTCAATAATAAATTACAAGTCAAAAAGCAGAGAGGAAAATCTATAGAATAAAAGGACCTGGAAGGCAAGTCAACCCAGTGCCAAGTGCAGACCTTACGTGGAGTCTGACTCAAACCAATGGTTAACAGGATTTCTTAGGGAGATGGTCAACAAAATGTAAACACTGACTACTAGAACACTGATGATCTTAAGAAATTTTGGTCATTTTTCAGGTGTGATAATGTGGTGTCTTTTCAAAGGCTTTCTTGTATTTTAGAGATAACTAATGAAATAGTTACAGATGAACTAACATGAGGTCTAGGATCTATTCAAAAATAATTTGGGGTGGGGTGGGGCTGGCAGCGGATGGTGGGGGGTGGGCACATGAGGGTTCTTACAATATTCTCTCCACTTGTGCGGATTTCTATAGTTGTCCATTTAAAAAAAGGTTGAAAGTGAATAAAACTTCACAAAATAAACAAACTCAAAGGAAAAAGCACTCTGTAAATGTCTTTATCACATAAGGATTAAAATAGCAGTGTGCATATGTGCACATGTGTTTACATAGAAAACCAACTTAAAGTATTAAATAGCACTCAGATATCACGTTGAAAATTTAAACTTTTAACAAACCTTATAGTTTAAGCTAACACTATTATTATTATTATCTGAAATCTGAATATATGCAACACTAAAGTCATTACTCACCTTTTTCAAAGCACAAGCCTGTATTACTTTTTCATATCGTTCCTTTTCATATTTCTTCCCAAATAAAATATTACTCCTCACAGTTCCTGAAAACACCCAGGGCTGTTGAGAAACATACGCGACTCTTCCATGCACACTGACCAGCCCCTGGCTCGGGGACAGTTCCCCCAGCACGGCACTCAACAGTGATGACTGAAACAGATTGCAAACAAACATATGTGTACAGACAGCACTCAGGACGAACGAGCCACTGCAATACCGCCTTCCCTTGCCCTGCAGTTTGATAAATGCTATAGCCCTTTCATTTAAAATAGGATAAAGTTCAGTCCTGGAAGCTAGCAATAGAAAAAAATCTTTAAATATATTACTGGTCAATATAAACTAATGGTTGATAAGGAATAACAATAAAATAGAGTACGACAATCTATTCTGCCCAAAAGTCTTCCCTCAAATGAAATACTTTACTCAACAAAGACTAGTGAAGAATGTTTAACATTCTTAACTGAGTAGCCTTGCATGATATGTGTTTCATATGCCTGATGTTTAATGTAGTTGTCCCAGCAAACAGGTATCTTTTACTTCACAAATATTTGTTCCTAAAAAGCTATGTGTATATATTTAAATCTAATGCACCAGAAAAGAGTATTTAAAGGAAATCTGAAGTGAGTCATGTTTCCAAAGGGCAAAAACCCATCCTAAAAGAAAGAATCCCCTTCTCATTTATGCAGCCTATGTTTTTATTTCTTTATTTTGTTGTTTCAGAACATGCAAGAGTAAGCATGCACACACATTTCCTTCAAATCTCTTACAACATACAAACATGAGATGATGCACCTAAATGATCAGAGTGCTTATAACACGGAGCTGAAAGAACCTGTTTGAGTATCTGCCTCGCCCCAGAACCCGGTCAGTTCTGAAGGGCAAAGGCATCTGGGTCCATGCTTATATTGTACCCTTTGCTCTCGGCACAGTGCCATGCACATGGCTGCACATTTACTAAATGTGTGTTTATGTGACTTGGATAAATCAGATAAGGAAATGTTTAAAACTTTCTGGAAGAGCTTTTACAACCTCCAGACTTCCTGTAGGGTCTGCTCTGACAAAAAGAAGTTCCCATTTGCTCAGTCATTCCATCCCGAATAGCTGCCACTTAAATAATTTCCTTCTCTGAGATGGCCAACTTTCAGACAAACAGTTCCCAATTGTGCAATTTGAATTACCAAGAAGAAAAACATAAAGTGCTTTACCCAGATTTATTTGGCCATGCAACCTTCTTGCAAAACTTACATTCCATGGAACATACTTTGAGAAATGCCATTCTGGATATATCCAATTCAAACCTGTGTTACATATAGCTTTGGGCTCAGCCTCAACAATTTGACACAGGATGTGGCGTTATATTAAGCTGCAAAAAGGCATTCCAACTTACCTTTCCTGCTCCCACAGGTCCAACCACAGCTAACAGTTCACCAGGTCTGACAGTAAAGGAAAGGTCTTGGAGGGTTGGGGTTTCTAATACCTATAAATTAAAGTTTACAAAAATGTACCCATTTCAAAGTTAACAAAAATGTACCCATTTCAAAAAGTGAAGAAAACAATATAACAGGCACTGATACATGAACATAACCCATATCTTTCTCCTTCCTATTTTAATATATTGTGTCCTGGAATCCTTTTCATCCAATCATATCTCTTTGGGGGTTTGAAGCAGCTTCAGTTGCCTTTAGGAAAGCCCATTCTTTTACCAGATTTCTGTGTGGACACGGCTCTAGACAGAGAATTTAAGTAGCAAAAATGAGACGAGGCACCTTCTTAAATGAAAACTTCTTGATGTTCAATAACTTATTAAAAACAATGTACTTAATAGTACATTCAGTGTCAGTGGTTTTTAATCATTTATAAATTTTCATTAAACCCTTGGATTTAATCTATTTCATTAATCTCCACAAGATGGCAGCATAAGTACATGACATGCCTGGTCCTTGACTAATAATTTAAAATCTCCACCAATGTATTTTCTCTTGATAAAGAATGAATGTCAGTAATGCTTAGCAAGCAAGAAGCCCCTTCAAAATAATGTTGGCAAATAAATTCCTGTAAATGATGGTCAAGGCTGTAATTAGATCTCTAATTTAACAACAACAAAAATGGGGCATAAAATTACATATTGGGTTAGAGTGATAGTCAATTTTATACCTGTAGCATGTATTACCAGCCCTGGCTAAACAGGGACAACAAAGTACTTCTACTGTAGAAACACAGAGGTACCTGCAACAGCATACTATCCAATGCAAGGGGGAGAAGGATAAAGTACTCATCATGCTAATGACAAGTCATATTCCTAAATAATCTACGAATTCTAAAATAAAGGGAGTTAGGGTATATGTATATTTATACATATACTAAGCGTGGAGAAAATTCTCAATAACCGCTAATGTTAAAAAACTTTTAATGTTTAAAAAAAAAGAGTGGGTATATGTGATTACTAAAATGCCCAAAAGACTAAAAGCACATGAGAAATAAAAAGTATGGATAATCTTCAAAATGAAAAATTTCTCTGGAAATAACTGAGTTAATTAAAAGATGGTCACATACTAAAATGATGACAATTATTTTTAATCACAAGAAAATTAGCCCCAGCCTTTCTAGGAATTACTAAAACCCATCAATACGAAGCTGGATTTTAATACATCAGAAACATTTTTTAAGCTTCTCTACTTTTTTAATGTCTAATAACTAGTTCCTATTTTACGATTTTTACTTAGTGTTGGCTGCAAAATAATGAACCACATACAAACACTGGTTTCCTGTCATATCACCTCACTGTTCCTTGGGCCAGATAGGCAGCAGTTCCTTCTCTGTGCAGGTTTCAGGATAAGACACTGCTCTAGCATGACCAGAAGGGGGCAGCATTCAAGAGCTTAAGAGTGCTAGAGTCCCTTGCACTCCTGGTTCAGCTACAGGTGATGCAACAAGGATCACAGACTGAGCCCACACTCCACTCTCTGTGCCAGACTTCGTCTAGGCGCTGGGAATGCAGCAGTAAACCACACAGAAAAAAAAACCCTTGCCCTATGAAGATTTAAAGGCTCCAACTGAACCATAAATTTTAAGGCTTACAGAATAAGACCAAATCCATTCATTTCATAAGTGAGAAGCTAGTAGGTAAGAAGATCCTCCCCCACTTGCCTGGCTGTTTAGTGGAGCAAGTTAGAGAGTACACGTCTTTCTCCTGCACTGCAACACAGCATGCACTTCATTTTGCCTCAGCTTCTCTCCAAACCCAGCAACGTCTGTGCCCCTCCTACACCCGAGGGCTCTCTCATCCATGACCTAACCTGACACCTCCTAATTATTCCCCAGCACTGGCACAATCCTTCCACAACCAAGGCTAGCAAAACAGAATAGGGTGTTCTGTACAACAATGCAAGCTGCAAAAAAAGTCTGAGAACATGTTATCAAGTTCTTGGGAGAAGAACAAAGCAGCTCTATTTATAATGTTGCATAGTTTGGTACAAAAGAAATTTGGTCATGGGTCATATAAAGTGTTTATTAGCCACCTGGGTGCTTCATCTAACTCAAAACATTCAACAGACTACACCTTTATAATAAAATTTAAATGGTGCTTTCTATAAATACTTACAATGTATCATGATGAGCACTAGGAAGTAGGAGGTAAATCTATTTTATTAAGCTAGGGCAGGTTAGGTAAGGCAGCTTGTCTGAGCTTCCATGTACAAAAGGTGCAATGATGTGGTTTTATGAATTTGGGAATATACTACTGTTTGGGTAGAGATGGCAGACACTGAATCAGAAGTAGGTGACCACGATGCAGGTGGCACAATACTTAAGAGTCATAGGCATGAAAACACAAGAAGAGTCTACAAAGTATGACACTTGTACCACTGGAGAAGGGAGAACGAGAGTGGAGGTTGGAAGGAGTGCTGGCTGAGCACGTGTTTGCTCTTGGCTTCAATTCCCGCCTTACCTCTGCTACGCTTGGAACTGCCAGCTCCTGCCAACCTCCTGCAAACTTCCAAGTCAAAGGCAGTTCAGTCCTAAAGGATACTGTCTGAGGCCAGGAGGCAGGAGAGGGGGAAGCTGGTACCCACCAGTACCTCCACCTGCTTCTCCAGCCTTCACTATAGTCGCACTACCTCTGCTGTGCCAGCATCAACAAAACAGCCTTTCACACTGTAGTCCCCACTCCCACTGGCAGCCCGGCTCCTGAGTTCTGCCCCAGACAGGTGACCCTCTGGTAAACACCACCTCCTCCCTGCATTCCTCCAGCCCTAGAAGTGCGAGCAACTTCCTGGCATTGCTAATCTCTGGGTTACGTCACCCACTACACATGTAACTAATTCCCCACATGACATTCCCTCTCCTGTGTGTGGGTTATTTCCCTAATCCAGACTGATACAGAAGGATATCCACAGTGGACCATGGAACCCTGAGAGAAAAGCATTTCAGTTGTTGATATAGGAGGCTGCACTGAATGTGCAAGTTTGAGAACTTCTTGAGAGTGGCTCCTAGTTTTGTTTTGTTTTGTTTTCCCATCTGCCTAAATGCCATAAATAAACCAAGTAGTGGGAAAATCCTCGTGACCTCACCAGTCCCACCTGTCAGCTTGCCACACAGTGAAACTCTCAGATTGGGACCCACTGGCTCTTACTATGCCCAGCCTGCTGCCTCCTGCCTGCTCCTGACTGGCACCAAAGTAGCCAGCACCACCCAGGAGCTTAGAATAGGGGAGTCCCCACCCTACTCCACAGCAAAGATCCAAATCATGGTTTTACTCAATACGTAGTAGATAGTCTGATAATGTCAAGGTAAAAAGTACACTCTAATCCTATAAATTCTAATATTACAAACTTACGTACTTTAAGTTCAAAATCTGGTAATATTTTGAAAGTTCTCTTGAAAAACGAGATAAAGAACAACATGTCAAATGCCTCAGCCTGATTTTATACTTAATCTCAATTAAAGGCAACCCTTATTCTTGATTTTGAGAATTTTTATAACAATGAGCAAGTCATATCTTATACTAGGTATAAAAAAATCTCAAAACTCTATTAAATCTGTGTTGCCAGTTGTCTTTTAGTAGTCACGATCTTGTAATGAAAGATTTGTTACCTTATCCCAAAAAGCAGTGAAGTCTTGCACATGCACTATCATTTCATTGCCCGATGGCAGTTGAGAATTACGCTGTTTGATCTCGTCAAGCAAGAGAAAGTTCTACAGAAAAAGGAAAAATACGGATTGGTTAAACTGCAAGAACAAAAGCAGAAAAATAATTGCTTTCCTAAAACATGCAATATAAAAAAAAAGAAAACCTTTACACCGCCTACATATCGTTTTGCCAATGTATTTAAAGTGATGGTTCCCATCAGAACATACCATATAACATATAGTGCACTTGACCCTTGAACGACAGGTTTGAACTGTGCAGGTCCACTTACACATGGATCTTTTTTCAGTAAAGACTGTAAATGTATTATTTTCCTCTTCCTTATGATTTTCTTAACATTTTCTTTCCTCTAGCTTACTTTATTGTAAGAATACAGTATATAATACAGATAACATACAAAATACGTTTTAATCAACTGTTTATGTTCTCAGTAAGGCTTCCAGTGAACCACAGGCTTTTAGTAGTTAAGTTTTGGGGGAGTCAAAAGTTATACACAGATTTTCGACTGTGCCGGGGCTCAGCACCTCTAACTCCTGGATGTCCAAGGGTCAACTGTATATATTTATATTTATATTTTATAGTGTATAACATATAATTATATAGTATAGTATTATGTATATATACTGTATATATAGTAGAGTATAACATATATCTTATGTGTGTATACATATATAAAGAGTTCATGGTCATGAGGCTATCTTTGTAACTTTATCAACAAGTGTACTAGCTCCACCTTAAACAGAAAATATGGCTCCGCACTTGAACACATTTAGGACCTGGGCATTTTTATTGATTTTCTTTTGTGTTACTAACAATAAACACAGAGCTGGTAGGAAATGATTCCATAAATATTTACTGAATCCCACCATGTGCCAAGCACCATGTGACATGCTAGGAACACAAAGACGAAGGCCATTCCCGGGCCTCGAGGAATCGAGCTGGCTCAGAAGCACAGGCTGCAAACATGAGACCGATGGCCAAGACTGTGAACAGGAGCCTGGCTCTGCGGCTTCTTTGCCGTGACCATCAGCTGGGCACCTAAGTACACTCTGCTTTTCCCCTCGTGCGTGTCAAACCAATGTATCACTACTTGTCATTCACTATCACTTAAGTCATCATTCTGAAAAGAAAATGCACTTACTAAGTTTCCATCTCTTTATAAAATATTTTATAAGCATCTCTTCACAATCACCTGTCTTTTCTCCTTTCTAATTCCCTCCGCTCGACGTGGGAATGGCCGCATCTTCCACTGCCACTTCCTGCTATTTTCCACACTAGTCAGGAACTATTCAATGCTATTTAGCTGAATAAAACCATCCTGCTTACCATACAAATCTAACATAATGATATATAGGAAAACATCCTCTTGCTCTGCAAACATTAGGCATAATTCAAAGAGAAAACCCATAAAGGTGCAGAAACTGGACAAACAACTGAGATCACCCCAAACTCCAAAAAACTTTGAACATGTGGCAGAAACTGTTGGCCTGCTTCAAAATCTGCTCTCATTCTCTGTGGTAACAAACTCCCAATTTTTGGCTGGCACATGGCAGTCTAGAAGAACTCCTCTCCCTAGCCTCCCACGCAGCTTAGTGTAGCCATGTGACTAAATTCAGGCCAGTTGCAAGTGACTACATCCAGGAACCTTCCTCTGCCTCACAGCCTGGGCCTTGGAGGCTGCCAGTTTGTTCAAGGCCACACACAGTGGAGTAACAAGAAAGAGTCTGGATCCCTAACACCAGGAAGGATCATACTAGCCGTGGAACTTGTTATGAGATGAATTATGTCCCCGCAAAAAAGTATGTTGAATTCCTGACCCCCGTTACCTCAAAATGTGACTTTATTTGGAAACAGGGTCATTGCAGATGTAATTAATGAAAGTGAGGTCACACTGGAGTATGGGGGGCCCTAAATCCAGTATGACTGGTGGCTGGTTTATAAGAAGGGAAGAGAACCAAAAAGACAGACACACAGGCAGAAAACAGCCATGTGACGATGAAGACAGAGACTGGGGTGATGCCTTTGTAAGCCAAGGAATGCCAGGGTTTGCCAGCAACCATCAGAAGCTAGAAGAGGCATGGCCCTGCTGACACCTTGATTTCAGACTTTCAGCCTCCAGAACTATGAAACAAATTCCTGTTGTCTTACACCACCGAAGTTTTTGGTACTTTGTTATGGTAGCCTTAGGAAATCAATATAGAACCTTACAAGGATTTTTGCATGAGAGAAGAACAAACTCTCTTGTGTAAGCAGTTTTAACATAGGTATTCTAGAACCCACAGGCAAACCTAATCCTAACCAACACAGGAGGCAACAGAAATAAGCATGTGAATATGTTTGGGAAAGTGAAAACAGCACATAAGTAACTTGCTACTCTAAAAATCATGACTACCTCTAAAACTCATCGCTCCACAAAGATACAAATTTGATTGCAATGTTCTACTTAAAAAGAACAACTGGTAAAAACTGAAAATGAAAAGTTCTGTGTAGGAAAAACATAAAAATGTGTTCCTACGCGTTTCTCTCAAAGAGCCAGCGAGTGTGAGACACCAACTGCTCATTGATTTGCTCCGCCCACTCATCCAACCACCAGGCTCACTGAGAACCTACTCAAGAGTGGGCACTGCTAAGTGGGTGCTAGAGTAATCGAGGGGATCACTTCACAAATTACATAAATGTCTAACCTTCGTACTATAAACCTGAAACTAAAAGAAAAGGAAAAGACTGGGCACTGAATTTTCTACTTGCCCCAAGCTCCGGTGGGAAAGGAGGCAGAATGGACAGGCTGTGGTCTGAGGACACCTCTGCAGGCTTTAAACCCACCGCAGCCCGATTTCTCACACCACACCCCGATTTCTCACACCACACCACCTCTCCCAGAGTCAATCAAGTACTAACTCTAACCGGTTTTGCCACAATTCCTCACTCTCTCCAAGTCTCCATTCTTCTTGAAACAACATCATTTCAGAATCTTGCTACCAATCATTGAAAATACTGGCAAAGCTTTTTTTTTTTTTTTTTGCTCTCTCCCTATACTTCCTTGTTCCTTCCCCAGCACTCCCCAACAGCACCAAGCCTATCCCCAGCACAGCTCCCTATTGATCTTACAACAACTCTGAGAACGTCCACCTTGCTTAAAACCCTTCGCCGACAGACACACTTGAGCCCACACTCCCAAAGTGGCGCTGGCCTTGCTTCCCTGAGGACTAATCCCACCCGCCCTTCTGAGTTGATCTGGAATGCTAATTCCATGGGAACCAGCTCAGGGTGGGCCTGGCTGGCACTGCCCTCCCTCCCTCAGAATCCCCATGGAGATTTTAAGTCACACAGAGGATACAGACTATGTCCTCACACACTTTACAAACCATCCCAACTCCTACTAAGCCTCGCATAGAATCAACATATCGACAAAAATCTGCTAAAGGAATAAACAGACCTTTTGGCTGGTTCCAATGAGTCAAACCACTGTCTACATCACTACAGCCTTACACGGTTAATAGGCAATTTATATATAATATATAAAAGCTCATATATACTATAAATCTCATCTAGACAGAATAAAACTCTGATTTTATCTTAAGTGTATAACCAACACATAAAAGTCAATATGTCAGTGTGTACATATTAAAAATTTCCCACCTTCAAAAAAAAGAAAAGAAAAACTAGACACAAAATGAGGAAGTAAATGTTTTGAGTATTTGTCCATAAACGGTAGGTCTGAGTAGAGGAAGAAGTCACAATCTTCTAGCTTGTAAAGGTGCCAGCAGTGCTGGGCGGGTTTTTCTCTTGTACTTAGGCTGATGAAAAAGCTGAAATTAAATTGCCATTAGGGCCAAGAATTGCATACCCAGAGCAGGTCATGCGGGAAAGTATCAGACGTTGGAACTCGAGCCAAAAAGGTTGACTTCAGAGTGGTTGGCAGGCAAAAGCCTAAGCAGCTCTGTGAACGATATAACCCTCAGAAACAAATTTTACTGGATGCAGAAGCTGCTGAAGACTTCCAGTGCTTTGAAGTTAAGACAAGATCTGTCAGAATCCTATTGAACTCATTCAACGCCAAGACCATCAGTTGTCTCTCCTCACTAAAAGGAAAATAGAGGAAATTCCTCAGGCCTATAACTTTATAATAAATCCATTATTTTCAGAACATAAAAAAGGAAACTGAAAAGCATGTACAAAAAAGAAGACACTACACCATAGAGCCAACATGTAGGATTGCCCTAATTTATAAATTAAACTTTTCTCAAAGGTAGAAAGATGTAGCTTTTCTTCCTAGGGCTCCCAAACATGATCTTACTGGAAATCACATGGCCCAATCTCCTGAGGCCCAGGCTACAGAAGACATTGTTGGAGCAAGCTTCAAGAAGGCAGTGTTTACTAAACTCTACGTGCCTACTAAGTGTGTAGCCCGTCTACAGTCGAAGCTCACCCAGTTCTGGTGACCTGACCAGTACACTCAGCAGACCCTTCCTGCCTTCCTCTCCTGCTGCCATCTTCATCACCTTCTAATTGCATATTAACAAATCTCAGTGAGAGGAAAGGAAAGGAAGGAAAGTAAACACTGAATCAGTTAATTATATTATAGTTCCCCCCTTATCCAAAGTGTTACTTTCCGTGGTTTCAGTTACCCGCGGTCAAACGTGGTCCAAGTATACTAAATGGGAAATTCCAGAAATAAACAATTCATGTATTTTAAATTTTGCTCCGTCCCACCCAGAACTTGAATCAGCCCTCTGTCCAGTATATCCATCCCACTCCATCACATCACGTAGGCACTGCATCGTCTCCCATCGTCACAAAGTCAATATAGCACAATAAGATATTCTGAGGGGGAGAGAGAGACAGAGAGACCACACTCACTTAACTTTTATTAAAGTATATTGTTATAACTGTTCTACTTTATTAATAGTTATTACTATTAATATCTTACTGTGCCTAATTTATAAATTAAACTTTATTGTAGGTAAGCGTAGGAAAAACATAGTATACGCAGGGTTTGGGACTGTCCACAATTTCAGGCATTCACTAGGCGTGTTGGAAAGTATCCCTCTCAGATAAGGGGGTTGCTGTATTCATTGCCTGTTACCTTTGTTAGGCACATAGGAAAGGAGGCTGAACTGAGCATATGGCCTTTTGGCGGGTCTTAAAACACTTGGGTATTTGAAAAGCATCTTAGATTTCAAAACCAAATTCATGCTTTTCTCCTCTTCTAGTAGTCCACATGTCAATGAACACAGGTGATCATGCAGCCCCCTCCTTCTACCCAACTTCTCCCCTCCCTCAACACCCAACTCAGCGTGATCCCGAGTAGATCTCAAATCTGCCCAAGTCTCTTTTCCACCCTAAACCAAAACACATCATCTTGTTCTCGGACTATCTAATGCCTCTTTACACATCTCCCTACCTTACTCGGGATCCTCACCCCTACTTCCCTGGCCTATTCCCCAGGCTGCAGCCAGGTGAGCTCTGAAAAAGCTAAACCTCTTAATGCTGTCAGTAGGGTCCTCTATGGTCCCCTGCTCAGGCCTCTAGCACTTTCTACTCTACAGCCTCAGACATATTTGGTTCCTCAACTGCACAGGTCTCCTCTTTGTGCACTAAGATTTTCTGTCACATAACTATCCCCAAGAAAAAGCAAACATCAGCCTGCCACCTCCCCTAGTCCACCTGCCCTTCCCCACCCTCACACATATAATCGTCCAGGTAACTACTTCAGCCTTCCCAGGAAGCACTGCCTCTGAAATTATACCGGCATCTCTGCCAAAGCACCTCCCTAAGACCTTTCCTTCCAAGGACTAGACTATGGACACACAAATGTACATCGATAGTGAGTTTCCTTATTTGCTTCTTTATGACATCCCCCCACTGGATGATACATAAATTCCAAGCAGGAAGCACTTCTGTGCATTTGCCTATCATTGTATATCTGTATCCAGCACAGCACCAAGCTTAAGGAAGGTGCTCAATTATATTGTGGAATGACTGAATGAATGAATAAATTCCAAATTTATCCCCCAAATGTCTAGCATAAACCAAGACAGGTATTCGTTTTTCCTCTCAAATGATTTGATCCTGATGTTTTTAACATTTAAGCTCATTTAGCCTGCATGTGCTTTTGTCCATAAGTAGGACAATGTTTCCCAAATGTGGCCTATTTCCAGGTACACGGGGGCACTTACTAAAGACACAGATACCACAGGCCCTGGCCAAAACCTAGTCAATCTCCCCAAGCTGTGGTAATTCAGCTTAATAAGAATCTCCTTTGATTTTGATGAATCAGAAATTTCAATTTTAAAAAGGGTTATAGAAACAATATGGATAGAAAAAGAGTCTAAGATCTAAAATACATATATGTATATATATAAAATGTATGTGTGTGTATGTGTGTGTGTGTGTGTGTGTGTGTGTATTTCCATAATTACTTCAACACCACCATGAAGCAATTTGCCATGCTAACATTGACTCTTTCTCATAAAAGAAATCTTATTGAACTGCATGGACCACCATCTCTTAACAAAGTTGCTAGAAGCCCCTGTCAGAAAGTAATAAACTTGGAGGAACCAGAACTGACCCTGTATGTCTGATCTGTTTTATGGATAATGCTTTTTCTTTAGTATAGAAACTTCATCATAAAAAATCTGAGCTTTTATGACAAGACTGCCCCCTCCCAAAAAACACGTCCGATGCTATCTGACTTCACTAAAGATCTATTACCAGGCATCCATCACTGTAGAGAAGTAAGAACAAAACAAACTAGATTTTTGGTCAAGCCCAGGCACTCGGGTTCAGGCCAAGGCCCTCTCACAGAGCCAACTCGTCTTCGTTTTAGACCTATCCACAAACACGCAAATAATTCAGAAGCTACTGTGTGCCAGGACCTTATCTTGGTGATGTAAATTATTTGCCCCTAGCAATTTAGGGACACCTAGTCAGGAAAAGGTATTAATGGGTAGGGTAGACATCAAAAAAACAAATTTGGAAGGAAGAGGCCTTCTAGAGATAGGCTAAAGCGGGGAAAAAATGTGAAAAGAAGAAAGGGACAAAAAGGCAGAGAGCCAAAGGCATACTCAGAAATCACAAGCAAAGCATCTGTGGAGGGAAGAACCCATTTTTAAACAGAAAGAGCTAAGTGAGGCTGAGGCCACTCTTCCTGCCCAAGAAGCAGGGACCTTCCAGCAACTCTTTCCTTCCTGGCCCAGGGAGAAACCCTACTCACCCCAGGACTGCGTGCAGTCCCTGCCTCATCACTGGAGTTAGATGGGAGATGGAATCCATCTCCCTCTCCTGCTTTCAGACGTTTTAATCACCCTGCAGTTAGGGCTTGGATATCAAGAGCCCTGGGCCGCTGCTGTTTATGTTCCTGCCCATGAGTGATCGGCAGTGTTTACGTTATCTGTAATGTACTCTACCTCAGAAGACAGCGGGGTAGGCCCATTTTGGACTGACTGCAGGTTTGGCCATGAGAGTCAAACCTCACCTAACTGGACCACAGTGACATTAAGTAACAGGAGAAATGACCTTACTAAAATCCGCTTACAAATTTAAAATGTTATTAATCGCCAAACCTGGATTCTTCGGATGCTGACAACTGCCTCTGACACCTTCTCGATGGCCGAGGGGAAGAAGAGAGTGACCGTCAACCGCACAGCCCCGTACAGTGTCAGTGCCACGAACACGCGGCTGGCTGTGATCACGTTGCCAAGGAGCACGTAGACGGTGAAGGTCACAAAAATGATAAGTTTGCTTCCAACAAAACTCGATGCCAAATTCATTCCTCTAAGGTAGGAACTTCTCAAAATCTTGGAAATTTCCTTCCTGGATATAGGATATAGAACAGGATATACATTTTAAAGGAAGCATCAACATCAAAGTCATGAATTCAAGTGCCTTTTGCACGTGGTCCCTTTCTAAGGAGTGGACGTACATTAAGAGAAAGTCATTATACAGCTCGCATCTTGAGGCCAGCTCCCACACAAGGACCACACACTCCATAACCCCTCATTCATCCAACTACATGAGGCTTAATGTCACACTTTCACATTATGGGGCAATCAGACTGGGTTTGAACATTCATTCAACAAGCACTTGTGAAAACAAGTCCTATGCTGGGCACCTCACTGATGACAGAAAGATGCAGCCTGTCCCCTCCAGGAGCACATGAACTCATGGGAGAAGAGAATAAGGCACCCGAAACTTGTGAGACACCAAAACATTAGACAGAAGCAGCCAGCACAGGCCCTAAGCAGGCAAGGAGAAGAGGTGTCTTAACTGGAAGCAGTGGAGTCAGGGCGAGTAGCACACACCTGGAACCTGAGAGGATGAGCCTGAGTTAGCAGGGGCCCAGGGAGGGGGGAATGAGGATGAGAGTGCTTTCAAAGCCATGGGAGGTGCACCTACAAAGGTACAGAAGTGAGAGGAGGGAGGGTGTATCATGTGCTGGAGTGTAAATACTCATCAAATATTTAAATTAAAGACTAAAAAAAATTGACAAACAAATAGCAAAACAAAAAGGAACACTATTTCCATGGCTCTGTTTGGAATGAGTAATACTGGCTCATAGAGTTTGGCTCATACAGGTATAATCCAATCTCTAGCATCTTCCTGTATGTGCTACATTAACACATAACATTCACATAACATTAACATAAGTTATAGTTTTACTTTAAATGTCATATCAAATATTAACATCATAGAATCATGGCTTGTTTGGCATTTGAATATTAAGAAATATTTTGAAGTTCATTTCTGTGTAAGAAGCATATATATATTTTTTCTTTTAAGAAGATGGTAGATAGAAAAGCAGGTTAAAGTGAGGTACCGCATGATTCTGCTTACCCCTACGGCCACGGGTGGAAGTTGGGGCAGACAGCATTTAATTAAGTTCACTCTAATGTAAAAACCTAATAAGAATTCTAAAACCATTCAGTGAAAAATGAATAAATAAAACTTTGCAACTTTGTATGTTGATGGGTGGTAACTAGACTTACTGTGGCGAGCTTCTCACGGTATCTATTAAGTTGTATGCTGAAAACTAATGTCATATGTCAATTATAGCTCATTTTTTAAAAAATATGAAAATATGGTGTGATGTTTACAAAAACTTACCTTCTCAAATTGGTAATAAGTTCTGCAAATGACTTTTCCCAGGCATACATTTTTATTATTCTTATGCCGGTTATAACTTCATTCATGGATCTGATCCTCATGTCTGTGAAAGCTGCAGTCTTACTCCTAAAGGGACAAAGAGACAGACATGAGAGATGAGCCATGGCGATTACAACCTAACTTTCCTCATCGGCAGTGGGCACAGGCAGAGGCCGGGAATCAAAGGATTCCCTATAGCTCTTCTTGCACTGACAGCAGAGGAAGGTCCTGCTCAAAATACAAATGGAAAAAGCCTTCAAAGAGGAAGTCAACAATTCATCCCAGTTCAAGAAGTAATCCGAAGATCGTGCAATAGCATCTCTTCTAAGGAAATGAGTCACATACAAACCATGTGCTCAAGGAGGTCACGGTTGGGTCGTGAAGGCAGAAAGGCACCCAAGTGTAACAAGAGCACAACTGGCTGTGGTGTAATAAAATAGGAATAAAGTGCTGGGGAGCAGAAAAGAAAGGGCTGTTAATTCTACTGTGAAAGAGGAGAGCAATAAAGCTTCAGAATTCTGGTAGCATTGGAAGGGGCCTCGAAGGATAAGGAACATTTCTCCATGGCAAAGAGGGGAAAGGAAATTCCAAGTAGAGAAAAATGCCAGGTATAGAGGCACAAAAGAAAGAACTCAATATGCTTCAAACAGCACATCTCCCTCCACCTGAAAACCTTGACAATGGCCCACTTCCAAGCCCCTGGGATCTGCTTCAGGTCTTACTCATAACCATTAGGCTTTTCATCACCAGCTACTTTTCTATCACATACACTGCTGCTAGGACTATGGGACGTTATAAGGACATAATTAAGATTTACCTTGCCCTTAGGAAGCTTGTAGCATAATGAAAACACTCACACTGAAAATGGCTCTAACACAAGCAAAACAAAAGTATATGCAGCTAGAATTGGGCCTATATCTAAATGTATTACTAGTCAATAATGTTTAAATAACCTCAACATACATAAATTCTGCTTAAGGACGCTCTACTTATTGAGGTACGGTGCCTAAAAACTAGTCGGGAGGAGCCAGTGAATGCCTTCCCCTTTCCCGCTTCAAGATTAGCCTTTGGCTAAGCTGGAGTCTCCACTGGCTAAGCCTGAAGAGTCTACAACTCACTGCAAAGAGATCATAGAATCACTGCCCCCTCTACCACCACCTTCTTTTTGAATAAGAGCATCAGGCAGACTGTGGATATTAATAAATACATAGTACCTATTTTTATAAACCAGTTTTTCTCTTACCGGAGTGATGAAAACAACTTTCCAATGCAGCTTTGCAAAGGCAGAAGAATAATTAGAACTGCCAACCCGGCAAGACACGAAATTCCTATTTCCATCCACAGCAAGGCAGTTACTGCGATGGCCTGCAGTGGGCCTGCCCACAGAAAGTGCAAGAATATTGTTACCTTAGAAGAAAAAGACAAAGCCTTTTTAGGACTACATAAAAACAAAACCAATAAAGAACAGAGTATAGGAACAATCTGCTCTGAACCAACAGACAGGAACCTAAGCAGAAGTGATCACAGTGGGCTTTAAATCTGCCAAAGCAGAAAAGTTTCTCCTTTCTGGGGCAACACCGGGCAGACTTTAGGTGCTTTCAGGGAGAACCGGGCCAGCGGCACTGGAAGGAAGATCTCGATTTTGTCTTCCCCACAGATGAGCTCAGGGCTTCCCCAAACTCTGCCATAAATTTGGCCCCACTTCCCCTAGGCTCTCTAGCACCCCAAGAAAGCCTATGTTATGGTGCCTATCACACTCTCCAATAATTACTTGTGTATTTACCTCCCTGATAGGCTGTGGCTTCTCCAGGTCAAAAGTCTTATTCACCCCTGGAACTAAGTAGGGGCCTTAGTTCATGTTTGATAATTGAATAACTGAAAGAGAAGTGGTCTAGTGCAATACAGATCTGACCAGCTCCTATGATGCCCTGCATAATAATGTGATATATTCACAAGGTAAGTGTAAAAGAAGACTGTGGTGGGACTGAGGAGATTTGGTTGCTTCGGGCTAGGGACTACCCATTTGTCATTATTTATCAGACTTCCTACACAGAGGCAGCGCACAGGGTACAGGGAAAAGAACAATCTTGACACACCAGCTCATCATCTAGAGGAGGAGAAAGACAATTCAGCCATCAACACCAACATAACATGTTAAGAAAAGCTACTACAAGAGGACTATTAGGTACATTTAACCAAGCTGGGCAAAAATCCTGCTGTCTGCCCATCTATGATTAAAGCATGTTGCAGGCAACATTAGAAAAATAAAACTTTCATCTGCAGGACAACACACATTATATCTAAGTTGCACACAGGAGAAATGAAGAGCTATATAAAAAGAACCTTTATGTCCTCAACGGTACCTTGGCCTGTACCAAAACCTGGCACCTGGCATTCCAATAAGGTAAACTACATAAGAAGGATGGGAAATGAAAAAGGATTGCTCAGGTATAGCTTACCTGATCAAACTTGTTCACATCATTGGACAGCAGATTGACGATCTGGCCTGTAGTGGTCTTGCTCATGGCCATGTTACTAAGGCGAAGTGCCTAAAATAAGGGAAGGAAAGAGAGAATCACATTCCAAGCCTGATACCAACCCTCATTTAGAAAATAGCAAAACAAAGCGCATTTTCATGGGGTTTGCGTGTGTGTGTGATGTCAAGACAAGTAGGATGACCCACGACAGCAGGGCTCTAGCGACCTGGATTCAACCTTCTACTCCTCAGTGTGGTGGCGGCCACAGCAAAGGAAGGAATAGGAGGTAGAGCTAAATCCCCCACTTCATCTTTTGATAAATTTGGACATGTCCAAAGTATAGAAAATTAAGTTTATACTTAAGAGCCAACTAACGTAATTTTGAGCCAAATTAGATGCGAGGGGAAAATTTGCCTAAGAAAAAAAAAGTTAGGAGACTTAGGCTATAAATCTGGAATCAGTCATTAATTCTGTGTGTGATGTCATTTAAACAATTTGGGTCTTGGATTCCTCATTCTGTGAATGAAAATAATCCCTCATCCTGCCTAGATCATAGGGTTCCTATGAGAGTGAAATGACAAATATTTATTATCTACTCTGCGGAGGATGCCAGCTGCTCCAGGAGATAGGATGACAGAGGAGCCATGTTTTCTTGTCTTTACAAATGAGACAAGATATTTACAAGCACCTGTAATTCAAGTGTAAACTGGGCAGTAAGTACAGTAGCAGAGCGGACCGTGGAAGCTTTCAACTGAGTGACACTGTTAGGGGCAGGGGAGGCGGGGGTGGAGCAGACCTTGGATGATGAAGAGGAGAAACTATATGGAGAGACGAGGAGGGTGCTGCGGGTGAAAGGAACAGCAGGCATAGAGTCAGGGAAGGGAAAATGTGGAGGCAGCTGAGTGAAGAATACTCCAAATCTGGCTTGAAAGATGTACTGGGAAACAGCTACAGAGTTTGGAAGGCAATATGGAACAGTGAATTTTTTTAATATTAGAGTGAGAAACTCAACTTTAGGAAGATGAAACTGTGAATGTGATTGGCCAGGCGATTCTTAAGAAGGGAGAATTAGTCTAGGCAAGAGGTAACAAGACTGTGCACAAGGCTGCATGAATGGAAAGGAAGGGCCAGCGTAAGTGAGAACACTTTGGAGAGCAGACAGGGCGATGCAGATATACAGGAGCCAGTAAGGAAGGAAGGTGGGAAAAGGGACAGGAAAAGGGGAGAGGGGAGGGAGGGAGGCCAGCCCTACAGGGAAGAAATATAACTTACTGTGCCTTAATTACTGAAAGCCAGATTGAAAATATTTTTAAAGCCAATTTTACATACACATACATGTTAATCCCAGACGCAGAAAATTTTAAGAGTATTTTAAAGGAGTAGATGTTTGGTATATAATTTTAACAACTGAAATAAGGCAGAATGCCACACCAAACTCTTATTCTAAACTGTTCTTTTTTTATTTTTTTTTTTAAATCTCCAGATAACTATACTCAGCTAGAATTGTCATTTACAGACTATTACTGCTGCCGACAATGAGGATACAGGGTAAGTTGGTGCCGGTGAAAATGTGTGCAAAAGACAAAGTTTCTCTGGGTGCACATTAGGGCTACTTGTAATTCAGTTGTGTTTGTATAATGAAACAGCTACAGAGTTTGGAAGGCAACATGTCAGGTATAACGATGGACTAAAAAGGCTGGCTCTGGAACGTAAGCTAACGTTAGCTAATGGTAACACTGCGGCCAACACAGAAATTAAGATCTGTCAAAAGAAAATCAGTCATATTCTAGATAAGATGAAAAAAAATAGTGACATGTCATTAATATCATTAATGAGGAAGGCAGTTTATAAGCAAACTGCCAGACTTCTGCTTCCAACCGTGAAAGAATAAGTGGTACTGGACTTGCCCTCTATTGTAAAACTACAAAACTGGACAAAATATATGAAGCAGCTTTTTTCACGCACTAAACCACGGGCAGTGCAAGACTGTGAGGCTTGAGAGAAGGGAAATACAAGAGCTGAGTGACTGGCCTGGCTTTCCGTCTGGGGGAAGGGTGTGGGGGCTTTCTGCTGGGGCAGGGAGAGGGATGTGGGGGCTTTCTGCCCAAGTAGAACCGCAGATTCACTGAGCCAAACAGGAAGAGATGTTGTTCCGAGTTGTAGAAACATCTGCGATTTGTGGGCCAGAGTAGCTGAGGGAAGGCCCCAAAAGTCTTTGTGGGGATTTACCAAAGGTTCTTCGCCAGGGTTTCACTGCCCACAGGCAGCGCAAGGCTCCCTGAGGCCTAGGAGAGAGGCTGTGGGTCTGGGTGTTGAAGGGAGACTCCAGAGGTCATGCAGTACTGGGAGACACTGGAGTCTGTTCCCAACTAGAAGGAGATCTCCCTAGTGCCTCGATGGTCAGCTCAGATGCCAGGAGGGCCATGACTTTGTAATAAAAATCACACTCTAGAGTAAGAGCCATGTACTTGGACTAATTAAGTTCAAAGTGCAAAAATCAGCCCCAGATTAGATTAGACAGGCAGAGAGATTAAAAGAACCCATCGATTCTGCCACGAATTGTCTATCAGAGCAAATTTCAATACCCTTTAATCGAGACTCCCTATACTGTATCCCTTATAACATTCAACACAGGAAAACAACTGTTAAACATGCAATGAAAATGTGACCCATCATCAAGAGGAAAAACTACAGGCAATCGAAATAGACCCCGAGATGATTTAGGAATTAGATGAAAACTGTAAAATAACTACAGTAAGTCCTTGTTTAACATCATCCATAGGTTCTGCCATTTTAAGCAAAACAGCATACAACAAAAACAATTTTACCATATGCTAAATGATATAAACAAAAGTTCCTACGTTATGAAATGGCTTGAATGAAATGACGTTATTCGAGGACCCATTGTATTGCAAATATGTTCAAGGAGTTAAAGGGAAATATGGTTACAACAAGTGAATGGATGGGTAATTTCAAGGAAGAGATGGACACTATCAAAAAGAACCAAATGGAAATTCTAGAACTAAAAGGTACAATATGGAAAATTCACTAGATAACTTTAATAGCAGAAAATTTCCATTGATCTGTTCTCAGATTCATTAACCCTTTCTTCTATAATTTATAATCTGAAGGATGGAGAAAAAAAGAGAGAGACTAAAAAAAACAAACAAAAAAAAAAAGCCTGGAGGTTCAGAGGGACAATATCAAGCAATGAAACATATGTGTAATTGGAGATCTGGAAGAAGACAACATGTAGGGAAGAAAAAAATACTTTTAAGAAGTAAAGGCTGAAATGTTTCCAAGTTTGGTAGAAAATACTAATTAACATGCCTAAGAATCTTAGCAAACCCCAAGAAGGATAAAAACAAAGGGACCTATGCCTAGGCACACCACAGTCAAACTGCTGAAAATCAAAAAACAAGAGCAAGTCTTAAAAGCAGCCCAAGAAAAATGACACATTACATACAGAGGAACAATACGATGGATAGCTGACTTATCAGAAACAATGGAGAGAAGAGCACCTAATGTAATCAATCATATGATTTTTTTGCCTTCAGGAACTATCCATTCATTGAGTACACAGACCCTTGCATATTCATTTATGTCATCATGATCACAAAAACAGCCACCATTTACTGAGTACCTAGTGTAAGCCAGACACTGGACACTGAATAGGAAACAACCTTACAAAGTATTACTCCTATTTTGCAGGTGAGAAAATAAGCTGAAAGTACTTGATGCCTGACAGAGAACAGGCACTCAGCTATTTTTTTGTTTTTTGTTTTTTTTTTACTGAAGCAGTTACCACTGTTCCTCATTAATGCAGAAAATTAAATTTTGGTTCTCATAAAGTATATATGTTATAAAAACAGTTCGCATCCAATGTAGAGATGAACAATGTGCAAATTAATGCATCACCTTTCTGTTAATGTTTTGGTTCTACATTTCCTTAAGCTGAGGTGTTATAAATGGATTCTGTTTAGTTAAATTTGTTTTCCTTGTGAAAGCAGAACAGTTCCACCATGAGAAAAATGAAAGGCAAACAAACAAACTGGAATCAATACTTGTATAATACACACCAGGCCCAGGGTTAATACCTTTAATAAATCAAGAGAATTATATAATAATCAAAGCCTGGAGGTTCAGAGGGACAATATCAATAAGAATTATAAAAGCTTACCAATTAAAGGGGGGGGGGGGCGAGGATCATAAGCAAAGACCACATGCAGGAAATTCGCTAAGAAAAACCCAAATTGCTAACGAAAATTTGCAAATCTCAAATTCCTTATTACTCAAAGACATGTAAATTAAAATAAAGCAGTATTATTTTTCACCTATGCACTTGTGAAATCAGCAGAGATTTAAAAAATACAACATCCAATCTTGTCAAGAATGTGGGCAATCTCATTTCACTGGAGAAAATGTAAACAATTAACTCTTTGGGAGGAAATCTGGCATATCAAAAGCCTTGAAATGTATATACTCTAAGGAATTAAAACTGTCTTTGAGGTTTTAGTTTTAATCATGTTCACTGCGCTGCTGTTTGTTAATATATAAAAACTGGAAAATTATCTAAATATCAAATTACTAAAAACTGGAAAGCAATCTAAATATCTAATTATTGGTTATACTAGAATCTAGGTGGCCATTAAGAATAAGACTGAACTATGGAATGAAAACTCCATCAGCACAGGATCCACTTATGGTTGGTTCTGATTGTGGGTGGACATGAAAATATGTCGAGTTATAAGAGAATTCTACAACCTAGGTCAGAACATTCATTTTGTAGAATTTTAAAAATAAATGCGATATATTTGTCACTTATTTGGAAAATAAACTGCTTCTCCTTTCTGTTATTTTAATCAGAAGTGAAACGCAAAATCCAAGTGCAGACTCAAATACCACCACCAAAGGAATGGGGAAAAAGAATGCCCTTTCCACAGAAGTGAGTTTTCCAGACTGGTGAGATGCAGTATCCCTTTAAGAACTCGATCTTCATTTTAATAGAAACACTCCTCAAACCTTTCTCTAATAGTCCCTTAAAAAAAAAAAAGACACAAACTGTGGCTCAT